TGACTATGTGACTACTACTAGGTTTCAAAAACGAAGCTCTAGGCTTATGTGGAAATATTATAAGTTGAGTTTTGGAAGCGTTGGGAGAAATCTTCCATTTTTGTAAATAAGAAGAGAAAATATCTAAACTTTTCTGCAGTCTGCTGCAAATAACACGAAGACTTCTTCCTTTAGCGGAAATGCCTGTGTCATCAGCGAACAAAGATTTGTGGCAACCCTGAGGCAAATCAGGGAGGTCCGAAGTGAAAATGTTATACAATATAGGCCCAAGAATGCTACCCTGAGGAACTCCTGCCCTAACAGGTAGTCGATTAGATTTGGAATTTTGATAATTTACTTGAAGAGTTCTGTCAGTTAAATAATTTTGAACTAATTTCATAATATAAAGTGGAAAATTAAACTTTTTCAATTTAGCAATCAAACCTTCATGCCAAACACTGTCGAATGCTTTTTCTATGTCTCGAAGAGCAACTCCAGTTGAGTGGCCTTCAGATTTGTTTGAACGAATTAAATTGTTAACTCTTAAGAGTTGATGAGTAGTTGAATGCCCATGGCGAAATCCAAACTGCTCATCTGCAAAAATTGAGTTCGTATTGATGTGAAGCATCATTCTATTCAAAATTATCTTTTCAAAAAGTTTACTTATTGAAGAAAGCAAACTTATTGGACGGTAGCTAGAAGCTTCAGCTGGATTTTTATCCGGCTTCAAAATTGGAACAACTTTTGCATTTTTCCATTTATCAGGAAAGTATGCCAAATGGAAACATCTGTTAAATAATTTTACCAAGAAAGACAAGGTACTCTCTTGGAGTTTTTTGATGAGGATATAGAAAATTCCATCATCACCTGGAGCTTTCATATTTTGAAACTTTTTAGTCATAGACCTTACTTCGTCCAAATCAGTCCCCCAGGAATCATCAAAAATATTTTCCCGAGAGAAAATATTCAGAAAATCCCGAGCAACCTGATTCTCAATAGGACTAGTAAGACCCAAACTGAAATTATGGGAACTCTCGAATTGCTTAGCAAGTTTCTGAGCTTTTTCCAAATTTGTGATCAAAATGTTACCACCTTCTTTAAGCGCTGGAATAGGCTTTTGAGGTTTTTTCAAAATTTTTGTGAGTTTCCAAAAGGGTTTGGAACTCGGGTCTAATTTGGAAATATTATTTTCAAAAGTTTTGTTCCTCAGGGCAGAGAATCGCTTTTTAATTTGTTTTTGCAAATCCCGCCAGATAACCTTCATGGCAGGATCGCGTGTTCTTTGATATTGTCTCCTACGGACATTTTTAAGACGGATCAAGAGCTGAAGATCATCGTCTATTATAATTGAATCGAATTTAACCTCGCATTTTGGTACTGAGGCAGCTCTTGCTTCAACTATAGAAGTAGTCAGAGATTCAAGAGCCTAATTAATTTCATCTTTTGTTTGAAAAGGAATGTTTGGATCGAAGTTATATTCCATAAATGTTCGATACTGCTCCCAATCAGCTCTATGGTAATTGAAAGTAGAGCTGTTGGGATTACAAATTATTTCTTGGGATATTTCAAAAGTTACTGGAAGGTGATCAGAACCGAAGTCAGCATGGGTAACCAATTGGCTACAAAGTTGACATGAATCAGTTAAGACCAAATCAATAGTGGAGGGATTTCTTGCAGAAGAAAAGCATGTTGGGCTGTTTGGATATTGAATAGTGTAATAACCTGCAGAACAATCATCAAACAGAATATTACCATTGGAATTGCTTTGAGCATTATTACCAATAATGAAGAATTTAGACCTATGACGGGTAAGTTTCTGGAGGTCACCCTTGAGAAAATTCTTTTGCTGGCCTACGCATTGGAATGGCAAATAGGCAGCTATAAACGTAAGTTGTCCAAATTTTGTTTCAACAGAAACCCCCAAAGTTTCAAAAACTTTGGTTTCAAATGAAGAAAGAATTTTATGTTTGATTCGTCTATGAATAATGATGGCAACGCCACCACAGGGTCCATCAAGACGATCATTTCTATAAATCAAGTAATTTGCGTCCTTCTTAACCTTATGGGCAGGTTTAAGGAACGTTTCAGTTATAACGGCAATATGCACGTTATGAACTCTTAAAAAGTTAAATAGCTCGTCTTCATTATCTTTAAGAGATCGAGCATTCCAATTTACAATATTTAATGCTTTAAAATCCATTACTGAATTTTAAAGTCATGACAATATTATTTGCAAATTTTACTCCAGTTTGAATAGCATCAAACATGGAGTTAGATTTAAGCATATCAGAAATCATGTCAATTAATGAATTCTGTAAAAATTCCATTTTGGGGGCAGTAATGCTTCCTAAGTCAAAATTGTCAAAATTTCCATTAGAACGTTGGTTAGTATTTTGATTTCTACCCGCTGCAATAGCAGCATAGGTAGCTCCATTAACTCGCTGAACATTGTTAGCAGCGAGGGGAGTAGGTACAGATGAAACATTTGAAGCAGGGGTGATATTTGTACCTACGGGTACGAATGTAGAATTTGTTCCTCGCTGACCGTTGTTAACAGCAGAGGAATTTGTACCTGGTCGGAAACGTGGAGCGTTTCCTACCTGACGGTTAGAACGAGATTGTAGGATCGCTTTGCGAGTCTTACATTCCCAAAAATTGGATTTGTGGTTTTCACCACAATTTGAACATTTAAATTTCTTAGGATCTTCCTTCACAGGACAGTCGTCCTTTGCGTGAGAGGAATCACCACAATTCATGCATTTAGCTGGCATGTAGCAATTTTTAGTTCCGTGACCCCATCCCTGGCACTTACGGCACTGGGTGAGGTTTTGGAAATTTCCTCCAGTCTTCCTGAAGTGTTCCCACTTCACTCGGACATGGAGCATAAGGCTAGCTTTTTCTAAGGCCTTAAGGTTGTTTAGTTCACTAGACTTGAAGTGAACTAAATAAAAATCATTAGAAATCCCGTTGCGCGAATCGCCAGGACGGGATTTCATTTTCATTTTGATTACTTGGAGTGGCACAACTCCAAGTAATTTTGCCAGTTCATCTTTGATCTGATCCAGGGATTCACCACTGGGCAGTCCTTTCATGTTTTGCTTCAGTCGAGTATTAGTACAAAACACTGAAGAAGTCTGCACATTGTAGACGAAATACGCGTATCTGTCAAGGATAAGCAAATAAGGTAGTGGCATTAAATGGAAATTACTCATTCTTCTCTGTCTCTTTATACAGGTACTCCACTAAGACGCCTACATTCACCAGGTTCAGCAAATAGCTGTGTGAAGGGCCCAAAAACGAATCGATGGATTGATAGGCAATTCGCCTATTCATTTCCTTGGGGCATTTAAGAATCTCCTACCAACAACTTGATCAGGCAAGTGGTCATCAACAGGAAGATGCCCCAATGAATGGGGAGAAGAACCTGCCCTTTATTAACGAAATTTTAGCAACAGGGAGTTGACATCTTCTCTCTCCCCATCCAAATTGCTTCAATTGTGTGCCCTGATGTTCTCTCCTCATCCCGAATTTGTGATATATATGTAATATAATAATCAGATAATCAGAAGCATAACGTGTACATATGCGTGTCGATTGAAATCTGTTGAAAATAAATGAGGGCTAAGTTGATTCTTAACATAAAAGATGCAGAGTTGAAAGATAAGAGAAAGGAGAGTCAAAGTTGTGCATGAAAAACTAGAAGTCGTCAGGATTGAATGCGCTTCAGACGCAGTTTCAAGAAGTGACAGTTTTATCAGATTCCCCAACTAACCATACTCAAGCAAAGTAAGAATATACAAGCTATATTGCGACTATATGGTTACTTAGGTACTCATGTGGCCGTCAGAATGGTTCATCGGTTGCGAAGTGAAGTATTTCTGTAAGTGATGCGTTATATTTCTCAATGTTTTGATCTTATCCTAACGTCACCTCAATGTTATATCGCAGACAAGCAGACACAACACATTGAACATTTATCATTGTAAACCCTACCGTTATCTGTCGTATACACTACGATGGGCAATACACTCAACAGATGGTTGTAGTGTGTAAACATCACACACTAGGGAATTGTTTATGTGCACCACAAGTGGCAGTACTACCAACTAAGAAACATTTAAATTGACCGTTAAAAACGATTTTGATGAACGTTTTAGGAGTGCTATGTCTGCTTGTCTGAGATCATACCTTCACTATCGCAACTTCGGGTAATCTGCGAAAGTACTTGCATTTTTCTCAGGCACTTTTGATCTAACTGCAATTACTCTCTCATACTCGAAATGTGCCACGACCAAATTGGCACAACGACGCCCTATACGCTCTCTGACCGAAGCGCAGGGAAAGCTTCTTCTATCAATCTGTGTGTTGAAAATACCTGGGAATGTCTTTACATGACCGTGGGGATGCACAGAGAAAGTCGACGAAGGGAATCTGTCAATGTTACTTAGGACCTAATGCAATGTTCAGCTTGAAATAGTGTTACATACAATCGTCTCAGTGACATCCACCTCTATTCTGTATTTCGTTTCGAACGAAATTCTCATACAAAAAAATATTTTTTTGTATGAGAATTTCGTTTGAAACGAAATACAGAATAGGGGTGATCGTCTCACTCTGAACCTACATTTAAAGTACTCAACATCTCAACTACTGGCAATCATCGAAAGTACTTGTATTTTACTCAGGCACTGTTGAGCAAACTGCAATCACCCTCTCATACTCGAAATGCAAAACCATACAGGCAGTTGCAGCAAAAAACTTACTCGCCCAACGTGGGGCTCGAACCCACGACCCTGAGATTAAGAGTCTCATGCTCTACCGACTGAGCTAGCCGGGCAGTTACGATGTATTAGCTTAAAGGTAAACATAAATTTCATTTCTCGATCAAAGCTGTTTTTCTCAAAACGATTACTCTTCGCACAGATACCCTACAGTTCACTCCATGGACCATGAATCTACACCGTGCTGCCAGCCGGGAAGAATAATTTTCTCACTATCCATTCATCCCCATCAGTTTCGCAGCCAGAGTGACTCTGCCCAGCAAGTGTAACGGTAGCAGTTGTACGCGTGATTGTAAAAAGAAAACCGAGAACCCTCGTAACAGCCAGCACGATGAATCAACCCGTCAGTTGTTTACCAGTGACAGCCACAAAGATGTCGAAGGCGAAGAAAGTGCTCGATGAGGCCCGCGAAACCCAAAATCGGGAAATAGACCTAGTGGACAAGGGCATTTCCAACTTCGAGGAACTGCCCGGATTGCGTGAGTATTCCCCGTCGGAGAGAATATTGGTGAGATCGGAACTAGTATTTCCTAATTTGGAAGAAACTACTTTTTTCGTTCGCGTGTTTACAACACTGGCGAAGTTGCGATTCGGATTCGCAGGCTGTGTGTGGATATTCGCGGAAGGCAAGATGTGAGACTGTAGTGGAGATACGCCCTACTTGTGGCATCGAATCAGAAGTTGGAAGCGGATTTATGCCCAAATCAGCTAATCAGAATGGACTAAAATTAGTCTTCATGTTTCTTTCCAGTGAATATGACGTTTGTGACGCGGATTACTCTGAGCCATAATAAGTTAAAAAGTAAGTAACAGGACCCAAATCTATCAGCTGTCAGTGCAATAACGAACAGTGTAGTTGAATGTATTCATACCGCTCATGCGCATTCTGATTCGTTCAATACCACCACACCCTCGGCAGAGCTCTAGAATGAATTCATTGGACGCGAAGTTTTGTTTACATGGGGCAGCGTCATACGTTATGTTTAGAATATGTACTGGTTGATGACGATAATAATCTTTGAATTTTCCTTCAGTTGTCCCACCCGGCGTAGCAAATTTGATCAATCTGGAGATTTTGAACCTGTCCAATAATCAGCTGGAAGAGCTGCCCCTCTCACTGTCGTCGATGCCAAAGCTGAGAATTTTGAACTGCTCCATCAATCGGCTGAACACGCTCCCGCGAGGATTCGGTGCGTTTCCGGTGCTGGAGGTCCTCGACCTATCGTACAATAATTTGAACGAAAAGATACTACCGGGAAATTTCTTCATGATGGGTAGGTTGTTACTCTTTGGTTTCTAAGTGCATACAATAATAATGAAACGAGCTTTATTTTAGATTCGTTGCGTGCGTTGTATTTGGGAGACAATGATTTCGAAACTCTTCCACCAGAGGTGAAGAATTTGAAGAATCTGCAAATTGTAAGTATCTCGCTGTAGCATGTGCAGTAGACTGATATAACGTTTGAAATTTACGCTCCACAGTGCTCACACGGTTCCTAATCGGGTCATGATTTGAACTCGTTTGGTTAGAAATTGATTGTGTACAAACCATTTTAAGTTTGTGTGGGAATTACTATGGGAAATCCAAACTTGTTGCTCATTGCCTTCTACTCTTTTTCGGTACTGCTCTGAGAAAAAGTGCGCCAGCCATTCTTGTACGCTAGATCTTTGCTGAAGACTGCTTTTTTCGTCAAACGGCTAATGAAATACCGTGTGGTGCCCGTTTACCGGTCACTTTAGAACAAATTTATGTTTACAACATTATTATAGTAATTTGTGTAGGTGTGTAGAGAATAGATTTACACTATCTTGAAGGTCAGTATCCAGTGACGTTAAGAATCATTAGTAAATCTAAACAAGGGTTCCATTCCCCGTACATTCCATGGTGACCATATGTATGTATTTTTTTTAATTTTTACATTTTCAAACCATTTAACATGATAGGATGCTTTGAAAGTTGTTGAGGTTTAAGATGTTGATTGTACAGTCGCGTTCCTAATGAAATGTTGGTCGTCATGACTATTTTATGTTTATTTTTAAAGTGGGCGGTAAACGGAACCCTCGATTGAGGTTGGATATGGATGCAAACAAAAGTTATATTTTTCGACAATGAATGGAAGGTCAAGCGGTGAACGGGCACCACACGGTAGTTGTTAATTGTTTGTTGGCTGGTTCTGTTTATTAAAGTGATTCCTTGTAGAGTCCACAAATGGTCACCACGTAGGCTATACATGCACTTCCACTTCGAATTTTCAATTACACACATCTCGGAAAATAATGCCCCATTTCACCTGAAATTGCTACTTCATGTATGCTGCAGTTTTATTGTTTTATTGCTTTATTGTTGTTCTACATCAACAGGCTGGATGAAGCCCCAATGATGTTAACCTTTTCAACTATGGTAAAAAAAAACTACATTCAAGCATGGTCATAACATAGAAAACATTAAAAAACATATATCTTATAGTCAGTTACTCCTGCCGGCGAAAAACAGAAGAAAACTTTCGACGAAGCGCATCACGGGAGAGATGAAAGTCGAAAACAGATGCAACTCTGTTGAATGTTCTCTGCAGTCCGCAAATCGCACCGTACGCTCCATAATTTGTGCGACGTAGAGGCAGTCTTAGCATAAGGTTATTACGAAGCGGTCGGGGTTGAACATTCAGGTCAATTTGCCTCAGGATAGCCTCGCAATCTGTCCTTCCTTGCAGGATATCGGCCACGGTTAGGGCTCTGCTTGTGTCTCTTCTAGTCCGGAGAAGTTCTAGGTCGATAAGTTGACAACGGCTTTCGTAACTGCCAGTACTAACTGGGTAATCGAAACGGATCATTCCAAGGCATTCTACGCAACGCAAAACGAAGAAAGCGACGTTGAACAGATTCACCGTTGTTGTAGTTTGAATTCCAAACCGCTGAACAATACTCAAGCGTCGATCGAACAAGCGAACAATAGAGAGATTTTAGACAGTAGATATCAGTGAAGTTTTTAGCTATCCTAAAAATGAACCCTAAAGATCTTGACGCCTTATCAACAACATATGCAATGTGTTGCTTGAATGAAAGCTACGAATCCAAGATCACACCCAAGTCTTCCACCTGATTCACGCGTTGGATTGTCGAGCCAAGCAGGTCATAGCTAAATATTATCGGTTGTTGTTTTCGTGAGAACGTAATAGCGGAGCATTTGGCTAGGTTCACTACCATTCTGTTTAACCTGCACCAACTAGCGAATACATTCAGTTGACGTTGAAGAAAGTGACAGTCAGCAATGGAGCAGATTCGTAGGAAGATTTTGAGGTCATCTGCATATGATAACCGAGGAGCTTCGATGACCAGATGCACGTCGTTGAAGTACAGTATAAAAATTAACGGTCCCATGTGGCTTCCCTGAGGTATACCTGATGTGGCGAAGAAGCTAGCTGATCTGCAATCTCCTATGGCAACCTTTAGTTGCCGACCGGTAAGATATGATCGAAACCAACACAGAAGATTACCGCATACACCGAGCCTGCCGAATTTGGCAATCGCAATAGCATGGTTCAACTTGTCGAATGCTGCGGATAGGTCTGAATAAATAACGTCCGTTTGAACCCGATCCGACAAGCTTTCGGTTATATACGATGTGAGACACAGCAGATTGGTGGTTGTAGAGCGGCCGACAGTAAACCCATATTGATCAGCACTCAAATACTGCTTGCAATGGGACAGCAACGGTTCCAAAATCACTAGCTCGAATAGCTTCGAAACGGCACTTAACGATGTAATTCCTCGATAGTTATCCACAGCTCGTTTCCTTCCTTTTTTGTGGACGGGAAACATGTGCGAAATTTTTCCAGCAAGATGGAAATATGCCACCTGAGAGAGACATTCGGAACAGGCGAAGAAGCGGAATTAACAAGCTAGCAATATTTCTCTTCAAAAATACAGATGGAACTCCATCAGGTCCAGGATTGAAGGATGGCTTGAGCAGAGTCGCAGCCTTAGAAATCATTTCTGCATTAACATCAATTGCACCCAGCGTTTGATCGTTTACTGGAACGTTCCTGGCAGCCAGGTTAATATGGTCGTCAGATAGTATCTCATTAGTGAATACACTGGCAAACTTTTCGGAAAATAGGTGGCATATATCCTGAGCAGCGGGAGCAAGTTCTCCGTTGAATTCCATAGACGATGGGAGGCCGGATTCCCTGCGTTGCTCGTTCACGTAGTTCCAAAAGGATTTCGGGTGTAGCTTAAGTTTGCGCTGGATGCCTCGTTGGAAACTTGAAAAGCATTCACGACTGACTCGCTGGTACATGTTATTCAGCCTCACATAATGTAGTTTCAGAGGAAGCGTGCGATACTTCGTAAATCTTCTCAATGCTGCTCTCTTGATTGACTTCAAGCTACGTAGCTCTCTCGTCTGCCAGGGAGGATGAGACACTTTGTGGTGAGTTCTTTTCGGGACGAGTCTGTCAATGACATTAGCCAAGACATGTGAAAAGGTTTGCGCTGCAGCCTCAACGTCATCTGGATCAGGGATGTTCTCCCATACCATGCTAGACAATACATCTATGATGCTACGGTGGTCAGCTTTACGGAAGGCAAAAGAAACCGTAGCAGGATAGTCGTCGAAATCACGCACTAGTTTGTCCTCAACAGTGACAATTAGAGGAGGGTGATGTGGAACTAGCTTAGTTAGTGCACAAGGAGCCGAGGAAATTGATGGAGCCCTGTCCTGTGTGCTCACGAAGCAGAGGTCCAAACTACAGTCATTTTCGTTAACTACATGGTTAATTTGAGAAAGCGTCGCTGCGCTGTAGTTGTCGAGAAGGCTAATAGCTCCTGCGTGAAATGTAAAGCTATCAGGATCTGTGTACAGGAATCCGCTATGAGATGGACTCCACGAAACGCCTGGCAGATTGAAGTCACCAAAAATGAATATCTCATCAACTGGAGTGGCACTTTCGAAAACTGGAAAAATTTAGTATCGATGAGTTCATTGTCGCGGACTCGATCAGGTGGAATGTACAGAGCGCATAGAAATAGTGTGCGATCACCCAGATTGATGGCTGTCCAAACCTGTTAGGATTCCGATCGCAACGAAAGACCTCGTAGTCAGGACTGTCAGCCACGTTTCGCACAGGACAATAATATCGTAGCAACGATCCGATACAGCTAGGCGGTACTCTTCAACATCAGAATTCATTCCATCGGCGTTTTGGTAGAAGATCACGACGTCCTGCTTGCGGCAAGGAATCGAACGACTGCTCTCCCCGGAAATCACTGATACATCAGTCAATAACTGACCATCATCAAGTCTCATTGGATACTCGCCATAGTGAGTGGGTTGGAAGACCCCCTCTCCACATCCGACAGCAGGTCCGGAACGACTATGATGAACGAAGGCTGCTGATGGCAGGACTGAGACGGAGGGATTGGGGGCTCCCATGGGGCATTCTACGGCGCGTTCCGGGTTTCCAGGATTGGGAGTTATAGAGGCATCATCACAATGATTAACATAGTCAGAATTGCTGAAAATTTGATCGGCATTAGGCAGTGAATAGTCAATATATTGATTGTACTTGCTTGTAGAGGCAAGGTGGAAGACTCCTGATTCAGCAAACGTGGAGTAACAGTTTCATTGTGGTACTACATATCGTGGAAGCGGATATTTGTGCAGTCAAAGTCTCGAAGTGGTTACGAGAATAAGGATCTCACAGCGAAACACCTTAAAGAGCTTGTCAGCCAGACGCTGGTTCATTTCCGAAGTTATTAATTATTTAAGAAAATCAAGACTAACAATTGAAAAGGCCTCAACTCTATTTTGTAAACAAACCTTCTAATCTAATCTAATACAAACGCAGCCAGTTCGAGAAAGCATCCTGGAAAATTATTAGGTTAGATGAGGTCTAATCATTTTTCTTGTCTAATTGATGTTTACAGCCAGGCTTGCTTCCTCTCACTTGCTATAAAAAATTGTTTTTCGGAATTATGTAATCATTAGATATTATAATGATAGTTAGTAGTTGTAAATCACAAGATAAGGTTGTAAAGTAGGTGTTTGACAAATAAAACCTGCCATTATTGCTTTCAGTGCGTTCCAATCAGCGATTTTACGATTCGTGATGGCTCACTCTGAGTGAACGCTCACGAGTCATACATTCGCTGATTGTGACGCACTGAAAGTGAAATTGACAGGTTTTATGTGTCAAATACATACATTCCAACCTCTTCTTGTTTCTGACAAGTACAAACTTTCATAATAGCATACTATGATTCCATAAACATTCCGAAAAACATTTTTTATAGCGAAGTGAGTGGAAGTAGCCCTGTTTACAGCATATCTGAGATATGATATAAACATCAATACGGCCAGGCCTACTGCGTTGTATTTGTCACAAAGATGATTCTTGTAAATGAATGGTGCAGTGACATACCGTACCAAACGCTCCGAGTTACTATGTGTAGTTGTGTGTAATGTATAATATTTGTACAATATTGAAGAATCATAAAATAATGCAATGAAAGGATCTTACCGAATTTTCTCCTATGTAAACAAAAATTTGGACAACTCTTACCATATTCTGCTCCTCTGCCGCCTTTAATTGCTCCCTTTGGAATCCCTAGGACTTTTCTCTAACGCTTCGTATTTCATTCAGTGCTTCACCGGCAATTTCCTTCATACTCAAGAAAAGTAAGAATATACAAGCTATATTGCGACATTTATCATTGTAAACCCTACCGCTACTGTCGTATACACTATGATGGGCCATACACTCAAGAAATGGTTGTAGTGTGTAAATGTCAAACGCTAAGGAATTGATTATGTGCACCACAAGTGGCCGTACTACCAACTAAGAAACATTTAAATTGACCGTTAAAAGCGATTTTGATGAACGTTTTAAGAGTGTTATGTATGCATGTCTGTGATCATACCTTCACTATCGCAACTTCGGGTAATCTGCGAAAGTACTTGCATTTTTCTCAGGCACTTTTGATCTAACTGCAATTACTCTCTCATACTCGAAATGTGCCACGGCTAAATTGGCACAACGACGCCCTATACGCTCTCTGACCGAAGCGCAGGGTATTTTGTAAACAAACCTTGTAACGCCATTTTCTCGCGATCCGAAACCTACATTCGCAAACCTAAAACACAATCGAGTTGAGCAGAATTTCCCCGACCAGTTCATTTTATTGGTTTGCGTTGGTGGACTTCTGTTCTCAACAAAATGGCCCTGCAAGGTCTGAGGCGTTTTGAAATGTTGGTCTTGAAATGGTAGCTGCTTTGTGGGCAACACTGTATTGTGCAGTGTTGCATAGTTGTCATAACTTCTTTTGACGCATCTGAAACATCAATGTTGACTGCTGAGCAGTTGAGTGCGCAGAAAAGTGATGTTCAGCAATGTTGTAGCTGAGTAAATTTCGTACTAGCACAGCTAAAATTTTCGTTGTTGTTGAAAAATATGGTGAATTCTTAGACATACATTAACAAAAAGTTTGCTTTTCGCATAGTAGTTCCCATATAAACTACAAATGATTTGTGCGCGGTCAGTTGATATTCAAATGAATTTAAATTTTGGGAGGATGATAACGACCCGATTCGAAACCGTTTGAGCACTGTGGAGTGAAAATTTCAAACTTTGCATCACTCTAATGTGCAGTTATAAAAAAATATCACTGCATTAAAAAAAAACATATACAACGGTCAACTAGCTATACTGCCCATAATCGCATATCAGTCCCATATGGATTTTCGTCAATTTTCAGATGACAATGTTATCCACTATCAATTGGCAACTACTTTCATATTATGTGATAAAACTACGGACTTTGATCATGAAAAATGTGAAACCAACATCAAGTTAGTTTGTCACATTAAGCAAAGTTATTTGTTATTTTATTTATTTATTTACATCAACAGGCTGCATGAAGCCCCAATGATTTAAACCTTATCAACTATGGAAAAAAAAAAAAATACATTCAAGCATGGTCATAACATAAAAAAAAACATTAAAAAACGTATATCTTATAGTCAATCACGTTACAGTTCTGCTTTCTGGATCGCCATATTTTTCACTGATATAACAAAACATGCAAGCTTGATTGTAACTGATTTCAACTTGAAACAATTATCAATTAATTTACTAGACTTTACTAGATCACTGCACAGTGGTCCAGAATGTAGATTTAGGTGGAATGGTATGATATATAATTGATTTTATACGAGTTTAAAAAATAATATACCTCCAATTTTTTTATGTTATTGAGAATAACATACGCTCTTTCAAATGCAGTAAAAAAACTTTTTTTTTGTTTGCCCCAACCAGAGATATTAACATTTGAAAAGTGCATATTTTTAGTATAAAAACAACAAGCTTTGTGCAGCAAAAATTTGCGCCTTAGATCTTAAGATCTAAAAGTTATTTGAAGACACCTTTGCTGAGAAATTCGAAATAAGAAAACTAGAGCAAAACAACTGTTTTTTTAAGAGCCACCCCAACTCAATTCAAGAAAATAGCTCTAAATTGGCCAATTTAAGAGATACAACAAAGTTATTTTCAACAAAGTTGCTTGAAATTAGCTCAGCTATAACTTTGCAGAAGAATGTATATCCTAATTTATTCAAACAAAAAAGTTAGATTGTTGATTTTAATGATAATAGGAACCACCCTAGAATTCATTGTCATAAAACTGAGGGCATAACTATAAGGAACAACTTTGTAGAAGAGACTTTAAGTCTAAAGTTTCAATTTCAGGCTCAAAACATATCATTCCACCTAAATCTACATTCTGGACCACTGTGCACTGTGCTAATGACTACATCTGGAGTCATGACGATTCATTTGTGGTTCATTCTATACATGAGCTGAAGTCTATTTTCATTTGTGGAATAATCGGCAAAGAAGTGATGCTTTTTATTATTTCACATCGATAAAGTAGAACTGCGCTGTTTGCCGCTAGGTATCGAATTGGTATCTTATTGGAATTGCAAATCAAGTTGTTCGGCATTCAAGGCCTAATGCACATGAGATTGATACTTTCATTTTCCTTTGCAGCTTGGCCTTCGGGACAACGACCTACTGGAACTGCCGCGGGAAATCGGCGAGCTGACCCGCATCCGCGAGTTGCACATCCAAAACAACCGCCTCACCGTGCTGCCACCGGAAATTTCCAACCTGGATCTGCAGAGCCAAAAGTCCGTAATGAAGATGGAGGAAAATCCATGGGTTACAGCGATTGCCGAGCAGTACCTGATCGGCATCAGTCACGTGCTCGAGTACATCAAAACCGAGGCGTACAGAATGTAAGTCCTTTCAAAAGACGATCGATGATAAGAATGACACTGATATTTGATTTATTGTATTTGTAGTTTATACAATCGCTACATATCTGCCGGAAAGGCAGGAAATGAGCCACCCAAAGCGGATAAGAGCAAGAAAGCTTCCAGGGCCCGTTCTTAACCAAAAATGCCATTTGATTGAGTATTCACCGTTTTAAAACTGTTTGTGTAATCGTCGTAGTTTTTCGGAATATTTACTGCAACTAATCGAATTAACCCGGACTGTTGTAACAACGACACAGCATCGTGAGCCAAAATTTTACAATGTGACTTAGAACGTGCCTTAGTGGAACGAATCGTTTAAACGTGCACTTAAATATTTTATATTTTTATCGATACTAATAACTTAAGCAGAGAATATATAAAAACCAAACCTTATCATAACAAATATCAAAACCTTTCATCTGGTCCAATTCCAATTAATTCCATTCCGTCAATTGAATCGAATCCAGCCAGAAGCAGCTGGAGAAACTCGCAGAGAGAAGACGTTCGATTTATTATATTTTACTCGCAATTTGCTTGCGGCTCATGTTAATGGGGAAAACTTTTTCGCTTTCAGTTCGCTTCTGTGAAAATGTAGTTTATTCAAAATTTTTTAGTTTTCCCCTTCGTTCTGCTCGTTCGTTTCATTTTCCTATATTTCCCCTTCAATAACCTTCTGTCAGAGTTTAACCAAGTTTTGTGCTCGAATTTTTCTTCTTAACGGAAGTTTTTTTTTCTCCTCTCTTCATACTTCTCAGCTATCCTCATAATGGAAATTTTTCATTTAGCTTTCCTTATTTTCGTGTTTCCGAATGTTTTCGCGGAATGGTCGCCCCCCCCCGCCCACATCGGGGCGGGGGAGATGTATTAAATTGGATAGAAAATGCTTTCAATTTATTGAAAAAGTGTAGTTTTTCTTCTCTTTCGTACGTTCCCTGATGCTGTCTATCGTGACACGACGAAGTGCTGCAAAACTTCTTCCAAGTGCTGCGCTCTCCATCGGTGCCGTGCCATGCTCAGATGCGGAAGAAAAAGTGACGGCCGTCCGTCCTTCTGGCATCTGTTGTCCAGCCAGCCAACGGCTTCCGAGTGGTGTGCCGGTTTTTCTCCGTTTGGGACGGTGATTAAGATGATCATTTGAATGAGAGAGAGAGAAAGAGAGACCACGGGAAGAATCTTGCATGTCGGTACTTATGAAGTTGAATGAGGAAGGGCGTGAAAGATAATTTAGCATTTTTACTATTTTAATTGATGGGAATTATGCTGCAGTGACGATTTAATTATGCTTTCTATTCACCGTCGAAGGAGAAAAACTTACAGATGTATTCGTGTTTCATTGGCGATCACCGATGAATTTTTAACTAGCGATGAATTTTTCAGCAATTTCTACGGAGAGGTTATTTTTAATGCAAAGAGACATGGTAGGTACAACAGTAATGAGGTCAACTGTGAAGAGTAATTAGTAGGTATTTTCTTTATATACCCATGTTCTCGTGGTCTTGGTACTTTCGATGAAAAATAAAACCAAGAATACGCTTGAAACTCTTTCAGCGCAGCAGAGTGAACACGTGAAACTTAGATTAGCTAAGGTGACAAAAAGTTTCAAGATATGTTTATTATTTATTATTATTCGTTATATTTAGTTGTTTCTCGCTAATCTAACTTTCTCGATACTATAAGATTCGCTCGAATGTAATGACCGCCCACGGTTGCTACTCTGTTATTGCCAGATTAGCTGTAACTACACACCCTAATAAAAATGTTATGGGTAATTTGCTTAACGACGTGTTCGGGGTATCATCCAAACCATTTGTGGAATAGTTCAATCATTTGGGTTATTGTCCGTGTATGGTACTTTTTATTAGGGCAGAGAACCAAAAGGACGATGCTTGGGACTAGCAATCATCCTCAATATGTAAAAAGTAGTGATCTCAAACTAGGCAATACCAGCGTCGGCCGCGACCGAACACAGGCCAAGCAAGGAATGGGTAAGAATGTGTTGACGTGACACTCGCTTTGATGGAAGCCGAGAATACCACTGCACTTCCACGAGGAATCACAGGGATATTGGGTAAGAGGGTAGGGTTTGTAGTAGGGTTCGTTTTGGTAAACGATAAGCTGAATTGATGTCCTAACGATCATTTAACGCGCAGGAGTTTGATTGAACCCACGGTCTTCTGCTTAGTAAGCAAAAACGTTTGCCACTAGGCAAACGAGCTCCTTTTCAATCATCGAGTTGCTGTTATTACAATCTAGTGATAATATGAATAAAACGATACACGAATCTTGAATGTGGATGGTTATTTCACGAGGCATCCTTCCTTTGACGGCTATTGCGGTATCATCTGCGAACAGGAAAAACACGCAACTGCAACGATACCTTAAACGACCTGTGCTGGAGGTAATTACGGGTGATTTTAACCAGATGTAATGGGAAGTTGAAGTTACAAAGCTTGTACCCAAGTCCGTCATGCCAAACATTGTCAAACGCCTTTTCAACGTCTAACAAGGCCATGGCTGTGGACTTGGATACAGCTTTGTTACTTCGGATGTTATTCATCACCCGCACTAGCTGATGATTGGTGGAGTGCCCCTTTCTGAACCCGAACTGTTCCGGAAGGAGAATGTTGTTTTCCTCGACACATTTGAGCAAACGATTGAGAATGAGTTTCTCTAACAATTTGCTCATCGCTGAAAGGAGGCTGATTGGTCTGTAGCTTGAAGGCAATGTTGGATCCTTACCGGGTTTGCGGATTGGATGCTTGGAAAGTAGTGCAGTTCCAAGCATCTGTTGAAGATAGCGGTTAGAAGAGACTGCACTTTCATGCTGAGTCTCTTCAAGATCAAGTTGAATATACCGTCAAACCCGGGAGCCTTCATGTTCTTGGTGCATTTCAGAGCTGAGCAAATCTGTTGTACTGTAGTCATATCCACCGGAGGCAAGGGGAGGCATCTAGATTTTGAACGCATTGCGCAACATGACCATCGAGCGACATGCTTGCCGACCGCATTTGCTTTCTCCTGTGGAGTGATTAAAAGCCGATCGTCATCATTTTCGACTCTGAGAGGTGGAACGGGTTTGGGAAGAGTTTTCAGGACCTTGGCTACCTTCTAGAATGGTCTGGAGCGAAATGATTCTGGACGAGCCGGCCGAAACTTTCGTTCCGGAGTGAGTCCATTCTGGAAGCAATCTGCCTGTTCAGATCGGCCTTATCACGTTTTTTGCCCAGATCTCCAGTCCTCTGAAACTGGCGTCTACGCACATTTCTCAATCGAATCAATAATTGGGTGTGGGAATCAATAGCAACAAACTTACCCCTCACAGGAACTTGTCGAACGCATGTCTCGTCAGCCTCGGATATGGCCTGTTGGAGTCCTTCCAACGCCCGGTCGATGTCATCTACGGTGTCGAGCAGTGGATTTGGATTTTCATCGATGTTGCTGTCCACCATTCGACTGTACTGCACCCAGTTGACATGGTGGTAGTCTTTACGCAGGCAGCTTCTAGCAGGAACCACGTTGACACCGACTTCAGTCACCACCGGTTGGTGGTCGGAGCTGAGATCGTTGTGCACCTCCGGCTTGGATAGTCCGATGTTTGACAGGAAAAAGTCCATGGTGGAGGGATTTCCCGTCGGAGAGATGAAAGTTGGTTCGTCCGGAAATTGCACAGTGTACAGCCCATGTTGTGCATGATCGAACAATAGACATCCGTTCCGGTTCCGCTGGTAGTTCCACCAAGCTTCATGGCGGGCGTTCAGGTCGCCCCCAACGATGAATCGGGAGTTAGTACGAGTGATGGCGGTCAGGTCCTTCTTGAATTGGATTCCTAATCCATTGCTTGCGGTACACTGGCGTGGGCAGTAAACAGCGATGAACCGGACGTTTCCAGTTGGTGATTCCACCTCCACACTAATGGCCTCGATGATAGAAGTGCGGATGTGTGGCAGAGTGCAAAACTTGATTCCCTTTCTGACGATGACCGCTACACCACCCCTCATGGAGCTGGTGCAATCAAGCCGGATAATGTTGTGGTCAGGCAACCAGAAGCTGTCGCCGGACTTTAGGTGGGTCTCGGTTAGAAGACCCACGTCGATGCTATGCTTGCGGAGGAAGTCGGCAAGCTCAATCTGTTTAGCTCTTACAGAGCAAGCGTTGCAGGTAGCGATGGTTAGCGGTTTAGACACCATATTGGATGATGAACTTACCGAGCACTTGGATATGTTCGGGCTTACTGCGGCACTTACGTAGAGCACCGGTCATGTTGATGAAAATCTCCAAAAGTTCATCTGCTGAGAACAGATCGGGATTATTTGTTTGAGCTGTTGGTTGCCTCCAGAATCCAGGGGGATGGAGAGCTTTGTCCAGCAGAAGATCCAGACGTATCTTGAGGGGGTGCGGATCGCACCCTTGGATTCGCTTGTCCATGAAGAGGCGGAAAGTCCTCCGCCCTGAAAGCCGGGGCCTTATCCTTCCTTCGTGCTGGTTGATTGTTGGTGGACGCTTGATTTCGAATGCGCTTGAAATCCTCGCGTTTAGGGCACTGCTTGTTGGATCCTTGGTGAGCACCACCACAGTTGGCGCATTTTAACGCGACGGCTCCATCCGCAGGGCAGTCGGAAGTGGCGTGGTCTTGAGCGCAATTGCCGCAGCGTGGCTTAATGTTGCAGTTGCGGGTGCCGTGTCCGAAGTTCAGACACCGTTGGCACTGAGTCACACGCCACGGTATGGCTCCCAGCGGACGATGATGGAATTGATGGAGCGGATGGCTTTCAGCGCGTTGAGCGTCACCGTTCCCTTCTGGAAGTGTACCAGGAAAAGGCAATCCGGATACGCCTTCACATTTTCGTCCTTCCTTGTCATCCGATAGACGGCGCTTGGGGCCAGCTTGTACCAGTCCCTGATTTCATGTTCGATAAACTTCGGGTCGAAATTTGGTAGGCCCCAGATGACGACCTTGAACGGTTTTTCACCGGGGATGTCGTGGGTGACGAATTCCACCTTGGAAGTCCTCAGGTGGGCGATGACCAAGTCATACTCTGCTTTGGTACGGAGCACCACCTTGGTGCTGACTCTGCCCAATTTGAATTTGGCAGCAAACCTGTTGGATGTAGGTACACCCGAGCTTCCTTCACCGGGCTTCGCGAGCGATGCTTCCCCTTTTCGGGGCACGCACACACACAAAAAACCGCGAAAGAGAGAGCGCGAACACTATCGCCACGAACTTTTCGAACAACTCGAGAGAGCGAGCTAACACCGAACTGAACTGTTTGACGATCAAGCAGAGAATCTAATGATGAGCAGAGTCAGTAGTAGTAGTATTAAAATTATGTTTATTTCTGTTGATTATGGTAGTACATTGATTTATCATATTAATTGATTAGCCTATCTGGCTCTTCATCTTTG